TATTAAAGCGACATAGCTCCGCCGTGGATCGGGGCGAGAAAATGTCGTTTTAAAGCGACATAGCTCCGCCGTGGATCGGGCGAGAAAATGTCGTTTTAAAGCGACATAGCTCCGCCGTGGATCGGGGCGAGAAAATGTCGTTTTAAAGCGACATAGCTCCGCCGTGGATCGGGGCGAGAAAATGTCGTTTTAAAGCGACATATCTCCAGCGTGGATCGGGGCGATATATGTCGTTTTAAAGCGACATATCTCCAGCGTGGATCGGGGAGAGAATATGTCGTTTTAAAGCGACATATCTCCAGCGTGGGTCGGGGAGAGAATATGTCGTTGTAAAGCGACATATCTCCAGCGTTGATCGGGGCGAGAATATGTCGTTTTAAAGCGACATAGCTCCGCCGTGGATCGGGGCAAGAAAATGTCGTTTTAAAGCGACATAGCTTTGCCGTGGATCGGGGCGAGAAAATGTCGTTTTAAAGCGACATAGCTCCGCCGTAGACCGGGGCGAGAAAATGTCGTATTAAAGCGACATAGCTCCGCCGTGGATCGGGGCGAGAAAATGTCGTTTTAAAGCGACATAGCTCCGCCGTGGATCGGGCGAGAAAATGTCGTTTTAAAGCGAATTAGCTCCGCCGTGAATCGGGGCGATAAAATGTCGTTTTAAAGCGACATAGCTCCGCCGTGGATCGGGGCGAGAAAATGTCGTTTTAAAGCGACATAGCTCCGCCGTGGATCGGGGCGAGAAAATGTCGTTTTAAAGCGACATATCTCCAGCGTGGATCGGGGCGAGAATATGTCGTTTTAAAGCGACATATCTCCAGCGTGGATCGGGGAGAGAATATGTCGTTTTAAAGCGACATATCTCCAGCGTGGATCGGGGAGAGAATATGTCGTTTTAAAGCGACATATCTCCAGCGTGGATCGGGGCGAGAATATGTCGTTTTAAAGCGACATAGCTCCGCCGTGGATCGGGGCGAGAAAATGTCGTTTTAAAGCGACATAGCTCCGCCGTAGACCGGGGCGAGAAAATGTCGTATTAAAGCGACATAGCCCCGCCGTGGATCGGGGCGAGAATATGTCGTTTTAAAGCGACATAGCTCCGCCGTGGATCGGGGCGAGAAAATGTCGTTTTAAAGCGACATATCTCCAGCGTGGATCGGGGCGAGAATATGTCGTTTTAAAGCGACATAGCTCAGCCGTGGATCGGGGCGAGAAAATATCGTTTTAAAGCGACATATCTCCAGCGTGGATCGGGGCGAGTAAATGTCGTTTTAAAGCGACATAGCTCCGCCGTGGATCGGGGCGAGAAAATGTCGTTTTAAAGCGACATAGCTCCGCCGTGGATCGGGTCGAGAAAATGTTGTTTTAAAGCGACATAGCTCCGCCGTGGATCGGGGCGAGAAAATGTCGTTTTAAAGCGACATATCTCCAGGGTGGATCGGGGCGAGAAAATGTCGTTTTAAAGCGGCATATCTCCAGCGTGGATCGGGGCGAGAATATGTCGTTTTAAAGCGACATATCTCCGCCGTGGATCGGGGCGCGAATATATCGTTTTAAAGCGACATAGCTCCGCCGTGGATCGGGGCGAGAAAATGTCGTTTTAAAGCGACATATCTCCAGCGTGGATCGGGCGAGAAAATGTCGTTTTAAAGCGACATAGCTCCGCCGTGGATCGGGGCGAGAAAATGTCGTTTTAAAGCGACATATCTCCAGCGTGGATCGGGGCGAGAAAATGTCGTTTTAAAGCGACATATCTCCAGCGTGGATCGGGGCGAGAAAATGTCGTTTTAAAGCGACATATTTCCAGCGTGGATCGGGGAGAGAATATGTCGTTTTAAGGCGATATATCTCCAGCATGGATCGGGGCGAGAAAATGTCCTTTTTAAGCGACATAGCTCCGCCGTGGATCGGGGCAAGAAAATGTCGAGCTTTAAAACGACATTTTCTCGCCCCGATCCACGCTGGAGATATGTCGCTTTAAAACAACATTTTCTCGCCCCGATCCACGGCGGAGCTATGTCGCTTTAAAACGACATTTTCTCGCCCCGATCCACGCTGGAGATATGTCGCTTTAAAACGACATTTTCTCGCCCCGATCCACGGCGGAGCTATGTCGCTTTAAAACGACATATTCTCGCCCCGATCCACGGAGGAGATATGTCGCTTTAAAACGACATTTTCTCGCACCGATCCACGGCGGAGCTATGTCGCTTTAAAACGACATTTTCTCGACCCGATCCACGGCGGAGCTATGTCGCTTTAAAACGACATTTTCTCGCTCCGATCCACGCTGGAGATATGTCGTTTTAAAACGATATTTTCTCGCCCCGATATACGGCGGAGCTATGTCGCTTTAAAACGACATATTCTCTCCCCGACCCACGCTGGAGATATGTCGCTTTAAAACGACATATTCTCTCCCCGACCCACGCTGGAGATATGTCGCTTTAAAACGACATTTTCTCGCCCCGATCCACGCTGGAGATATGTCGCTTTAAAACGACATTTTCTCGCCCCGATCCACGGTGGAGCTATGTCGCTTTAAAACGACATTTTCTCGCCCCGATCCACGCTGAAGATATGTCGCTTTAAAACGACATTTTCTCGCCCCGATCCACGCTGGAGCTATGTCGCTTTAAAACGACATATTCTCGCCCCGATCCACGGCGGAGCTATGTCGCTTTAAAACAACATTTTCCCGCCCCGATCCACGGCGGAGCTATGTCGCTTTAAAACGACATTTTCTCGCCCCGATCCACGGCGGAGCTGTGTCGCTTTAAAACGACATATTCTCGCCCCGATCCACGGCGGAGCTTTGTCGCTTTAAAACGACATTTTCTCACCCCGATCCACAGCGGAGCTATGTCGCTTAAAAACGACATTTTCCCGCCCGATCCACGGCGGAGCTTTGTCGCTTTAAAACGACATTTTCTCGCCCCGATCCACGGCGGAGCTATTTCGCTTTAAAACGACATATTCTCGCCCCGATCCACGCTGGAGCTATGTCGCTTTAAAACGACATTTTCTCGCACGATCCACGGCGGAGTTATGTCGCTTTAAAACGACATATTCTCGCCCTGATCCACGGCGGAGCTATGTCGCTTTAAAAAGACATTTTCTCGCAGTTTTCACTTCCACGCTGGAGCTATGTCGCTTTAAAACGACATTTTCTCGTCTCGATCCACGGCGGAGCTATGTCGCTTTAATACGACTTTTTCTCGCCCCGATCCACGGCGGATCGATTAATGCTTTCCATAGAACCCTTGGCGAACGATTTATTTGAAATAGTTATAACAAGGGTTCTCAGTCAAATGCTTGCAAGCACTAAAAGCATTTAAAGTCATGATAAAGTCAATTGTCCATTATTGATATATGAGAACACACTTTGAATCGGTTTAAAATTAAATTTGTATTCAATTGATATTTGTTAATCTTGGTAGACTTTAAGTGATTAATTAAGACGGCTAGCCTGTACGTATATGCAATGTTATATTGATAAAAAATAACTGTTTCAAGTTAGTATAAACAGGTATATAGTATACGAAATATTTATAGGTATACAAATGGCCATAGATAAATCGGGGCAAACAATGGAACCACTTCAGGCGTGAACACTTCACAGTGATAGGGCCAAGAGGGCAATCTTTATAAAAATGAAGAGTCGTCAGTCTAGTCGATCATTCTGCAACCACAGTTCAGATAGCCAAACACTATGAGAACCATTACACTCTGCCTTTTGCTGCTTGTTTCGGCTAGCTGCCTGATCAGCACGAACGTAAGTAAATATCAAGCGATAGGAAATTGGAGCAAAAGTAACTTTATATAAATTGTTGTCTTTTAGGCCAAGGCAACGGTTGACGATTTGATCAACTTCGAGGATGTAGATTTGGATACACTGATTGATGAACTGGAGGGCGATTATATGGATGTGGAGGAGTTTGGCTTCATCAGGTCCGTGCGCAAGGCCCTCAAGAAGGCGCTGAAAACAGTGCGCGGCGTCAACTGCACCATTAAGGAGGTCATCGAGGTGATGTCCGCGGCCACTAACTATGTGGATGCTATTGATGCCTGCGGCACAGCCGTGCCCAAGGATGTGGCTGCCATTGTCGAGTCCTGCAAGACCATCATCTCCATCTGCAACGATATCATCAATCTGAACAGCAAGCTGTGCACCACAGATGAGCCCGATTCCAACCAGATGTCCTCCAAGAAGTGCTTCTGGCAGTTGTTCAAGGCTGTCATGCGGCTAACCAGAAAGATAAACACCACACTGAAGCAGATCGCCAAGCTGCCCTCCGACACCAGCTCCTGCTTTCTCGATGCAACAAACGATGTTAAGATCAGCTTTAACAATTTCTTGCCAAATATCAACACTTGCGTTGATCAAATGTAAACGTATCTCAAAGTTATAAGGAACATATATACTAAAAAAAAAAAAATGTCCTACACAATTTGTTTACAATATGAGTAAATAAATGAAATACGAGAGAAAACCTTACGTTTTTTCATTCGAATCGTATAATGGATGGGCTGGCAAATGAGTTTGCGCATTCGAATTTGCGGTTATGTTGTAGAGAGTAGATGGAGCTAAAGTTAACTAAAACCATATAATAATAAAACAGTACAAATATACATAAAACAGTTTGCTCTGACTTACTGACAGCACGGTGATTAGCGCGCATGCCCGGGCAAGGCCGGGCAACACTCGCTAGTAATACTAATGTAAATATTTGATTGTTTTCAAATAATTCCATTAACTGCGTTATAGAATACAAAAAAAAAAAAACCCAAGTTCGCCATGTTTCGGCTTTTCTATATTGATTTCTTCTGTAGAAAAAAGCTTCTGGATTCACGATATGCACAAGAACATTTTTCAGCTCAAGAGCTCTATTATTTTTTTTTTTATCAGTTCCTTAAGTGAACTAAGCGCTTGCAGCTGTGCAGTTGTTATCGTTGAGTTAAGAGCCACACGATCTAAAGCCTTATCAAATGCCCAAAACCAATTGACTTTTGCATTTTTATTTGCTCTTCTAATGGGTATAAAGTGGAAAAAAAGGCATGGTTAATGGTTATGACCAGACTGCTGGCTGCCTAGGAGCTGGTCAGCTTGGAGCAGGCCTTTATGTTGGCGGGGAACTGTGTGTAGTAGCTGGTCAGGTTGTTGGTGGCATTGGTGACACAGGAGATGGCATTGGGGCCAGTCTGGGGTATCTTCTTGGCAAGGGCAATGGCGCTCTTCACCTGCCTGTACAGGCTGAAGACCTGGGCCAAGGTCTTGACGGCACAGCTGTTGGTGATCTTCTGCTCCTCGGGCTCCTCGGCGCTGGCGCAAATGTTCGACTTCAGGTTGATGATGTTGTTGGCGGTGCTGATGATTTTCAGGTTGGCATTGATCAGATTGGTCACATCCTGGCTGGCATCGACGCCGCAGGCAATGATATCGGCATTGTACTGCAGAGCGCTGGCCTTGATGCCCACAACCCACTTGAGTATACAGTTGAAGCCCTTAACGCTGCGCAAAGCCGCCTTAATGGCCCACCACGTGGCCGAGAAGATGCCGAACACCTCCGGATCGAAGGTCTCCCCATCGATATCAGCAAAATCGCTAGGCTCGTATTGTAAACCCGTATCCGGCGCCATCATCAACGGCTGCCAGGTGCCAGCATTGACCTGTTTGGAGCAAACGCATCGTTTATTCTCAAACTAGCCCATTCGCTTGAATCCTGGTCAAATACTTACACTGAGCACGCAGACGGCTGCGAACAGGGCAAATAATGTGAACTTCATGTTGAGGTCTGCAAATGCTATCTCCTTGGACTGTGCCACGCATCGCGCCTTTTTATAGTGTGCCATGGTCTTTGCTACCGATAACAGAAATAACTTATTAATGCTCAGGCAGCTCCGAACATTTATCGAGTCGCCTATCTGCCTACCTATCTACCCATCAATTGTACCAATACTGGCACAAGCCTCAGGTGGGCTTAGTTCAAGCACCTGCGGGTAGTACCTTTGCGGTCTTAGCAGCGGCTACTTTGGGGCATGCTTCGCATATCAGCTGATGAGCTGATAACAAGACTTTGAATCTCAGTCTGTCGAAAACGGCGCAATTAAAGCGCTTATCAATGGACTTTTCTATATGGTATGCATATATTTATATTATTAAATATGGGATATGCAAAACTTTAACTAGGAATACTTTTAGCTGAAATATATAAAATTTTTTGCAGCTCGATCTCTCTCTCTTTGCCTCTTGTTCACTCTTCTTTGTGCTATCTTTGCACATTTTTTATAAACAATCCACCTCTCCACCTATCTGTGGCTCATAACAATAACAACTATACAAAGACAAAGTGCATCAAGACTCCAGTTTGTTTTCTAACTATTTGATTAACAGACTTGCAAAACATCAAGTCTTCAAGTTCAATTGTTTAGTTAGAAACCTAAAGCTCAAATCAACATTTTTTAAATTAAGATAATACCAAAAAACCCATTTTGTGCAAGAAACTGTGAGAAGGAAAACAACTCAGCTGCTTTTCGTTCACATTCCGACATAGTCAAATAATGCAAACCAAGAACAGAATACATTCACACAGAATCTTTCTTAACTTAATATTATTAACCAGCCCAGAAAACACAGTGAGAAAACGGTTGGCTGTGAGTTTGAAATACCAAAAAAAATTTTATTTCATTTGAAGTAGAGTGTCCGAAAATTAATTGAATAGCATTTTGTTATTGATGATATTTTTTTGCTGTCAAATATTGTGAGTTAATTATCCATACATATTTCATATATTAATATATTTAACTTTGCTGTTGAATAGGAGACGATAAGATTTTGTGTTGAAAATGTAGCTAGCGTCTGGGCAAAAAATTGAACTTTAATTAAGTTAAGCTTGCTAATTTTGAGTTGTAGTTAATTAGCTGTTCATATATTATGTGTGTGTGTGTGTTTTTTTTTTGTTTTCTGATATTTTACTTATTATGTGCCGGAGATACTATACGATTAGAACGCGAGTGTGTGTCTGTGTGTGTGTGTGTGCACGCGGGCAACATCTAAGTAATACAGCTTGAATGCAGCTGAAGCCAAAAAACTACATTAATACGGAGTATATATTTGAGTGTGTGTGTCGTGTGTGTCGTGTGTGTTGTGAGTGTCGTGAGTGTGGTGACTGTCGTGTGTGTGTTAAAGTGTGTGCCAGTAACATTTGTAATTGGCCTTAGCCACGTGCTGCATAACAAATCCGTTCTGTGTAACATACATACATCCTTACATCTGTACATCTGTACATCAATACATCTGTACATCAATACATCTGTAAGTGTGTGCATGTATGTTGGCTCATTCGCAACTTGCCCATTGCCATTTGATGTTGTTTTTGGTCTAACATTTTCAGCCGCTTTCTTTCATTCAGTTGGTTCTCGAAATCGTTCAAAAAATTAATTTTTACTTTTTTTTTAGTTGTCAATTTGTAATCGTAATGCCATAATTTAAATTTAAACTTTAATTTTAATGCTACTTCAATTTCTCTTTTCGTTTATCTTAAGTAAAATTGAATCAAATTCCTCAGTGCTTGCAGTGCATATCGTACTTAGATGTTTTCGTTTTGCCTTTGTCTGTTTAATGTTTAACTTAAGAGCTACCAAAAAATTTTAACCATTTATAGTATATAAGTGTAAACATATAGTAATATATATATATATATATATATTATATATTTGTCTTGAATTATATATTATATGTAGTTCATTATTATGTGTATAGTATATATATATTATGTCTGTATATTATCTTACAATGCGTAGAGCATATGCACATATAGATATATATATATATATATATGTGTGTCTGTGTAGCATATAGCGTTCAGTTGAAGTACATTCTTTAGTTATATACAATTTACAGTTAAGCAGTTTAGAACTCTTCGATAGAAATACTTTCAGACTTGCGTAAGTTTATACTTTAATCATTCATTTCAATTAATTTTAAAGTAAATAGTATATGTTTTAAACAAAAACAATTGTCTTTGGCTTCAATTAAGCTGAAAATAAACTGCGAATAAATTCTAAAAGATAAAAGGAAATTCAAATTGATTATGGAATAAAAGCTAAAGAACGAAAAGAATATAAAATACTTTAAAGAAAATCAAATCTGTACACTGAACACTGAAATCGAAAACATGTTAAAAAAAAAAAATATTGAATTATCTTTTGAAAATAAACCATATTTATTCTCTCAATGTATGTGTGTGGTGGTGTGTGTGTGAGATGGTGTGTGTGTGTGTTCTTTTCCTCTTCTTATTCTTCTTCTCTCCTTCTTTTCTTGCTTAAAGCATAAATAAATAAATTAGAGCTATAATTGGGTATAAACTAGACGCATTATTTGTTAGTTAGTATGCACACATACATATGTATATAGAATATAGTATATAGTATATAAGTTTTCTTCTTCTTCACAAACCAATAAATGGTATAGTTCTTGCTGTTGTTGTTGCTGTTGTTGTTGTTGTTGCAGATACTTCCTTTACAATTTCAGTTGCCTTAGTTTCTAGGTTTTCATAAGACTTGCGTTTCATGTTGTTTTCCATTTGTTCAACAATTCCCTTATATGCATAGAAAAAAATATATATATATATATATTTGTAAATATGCCATGTATGCATGTCTCTAGCATCTATATAGTGATATATATGTATATATAAATTGTATTGATATACATATACATATATACATATGCCCGCTTCTACACGCATACATACATAACAATTTATATATTTGCTTAAATGTAGAACATTCATCAGGTTATATGCGTGCTGGGTCTGTAGTAAATATGTGTATGTACCTGTGTGTGACTGTGTCTGTGTGTGTGTGTGTGTGTGTGGGTGTGTGACTGTGTCTGTGTCTGTGTGTGTTTTTAGAGTTGTCAAGGCATTGGATGTAGTCAAAATAAGTATGTGACTTGCTTCGTTATTTGTACAAAATACACGAAAATATATTCCTTAGTTTGTCTTGGACCCGGTTGTTCTCCGAACAGGTGTATATTTAACCCACTTACAGAGCGTTGCTCTACAATTTGTTGTAACACTTGGCAACACTGTTCACATTGCACTTGTTCTTCTCAATAATCCTCAAACTACAATTTCAATATTTGATCAGATTGTTTAGCGATAGCATAGCGGAAAGTTTCTCAATTACAATTTGATTATGTTTTAAAAGGTAAAACTAAAATCAAAATTAAAAAAAAAAAATAAATGTGTTGGAATTCTTAATTTATTTGAGTTTTGTTCTTAAGCTTAGATGATCTATATATATATATAAATATATATACATACATGTGTGTGCTTATATATGTATATATATTTTCTGTGTATCATTATTTAGCAAACGCATTGTGTTATTTCCCAATTTCACTTGTATGCCATTTGCTAAATAAATTATTGTGTAGTTGCTGTTGTTGATGTTGTTGTTCTTGCATTGGCATTTGATGCGACACAATTTGTGGCAGACTTCGGGCGCACATCTGCGGGGCATTTAGCTGCATGCCCCAAAGCGCTGTCACACATTGCCCTACAGAGAAATCGCACTTAGAATGCCATACACATATGCATATATATGACATATATATATATAAACACACATATATATATTTATATATTATATAATATATGTTTGTATATATATATGTATATTCAGTGTATTTTGATGTATGCATGAAATCCAAAACATAATATACTGGCAAAAACCAACGCTGTCGTTCGTAGCCCAACAAAACGCTCGAGCCAAGAGCTCTGCAGACCAAACGATAGCGTGAGTTTTTTCAGTATGCTTGGCTGTAATTTAAGTATATAATTTAGATGACATAGTATGTATTTGCTTATGATTACGGTTTACAATAGTTAAGAGTAGTTAAGGTTTTCAACTGCTTAGTTAATTACGTTGTCTTATGTTCAATAGTGAGATTTTCTTCTTGTTCTTGTTCTTTGTGTTGTGTTTTGTTTTTGTGTTTTTGTTGTTGTGTTTTTGTTTTTTTTTTTTGTTTATGTTTTTGTTTTTACAATATCTGAAGCCAATTGGGTTGCAAAATTTTGAAACGTAATTGACTTTAGCGCGTTTAACAGTTAAAAGCACTATTCAAATGTGATCTAATGAAAAAAAAAATGTATCCCAACTAGGCTAAATATATATGCATATGTATGTCTATATATACATATATATGTGACATACTTTTTCGATTAGATTAGTTTCGATTAGATTAGTTTTAACTTTGAATCCATAAGTTTTGTCAGAATATTTATTATGTAAACGTATTTCAACTTTTTTTTTTTGATAAAATAGTTTACCTGTATATATATAAATATATTTTATATATATATATATATATGTTTATGTATGTTTTCTTATAGATATAGTTCTCTATATTTTTATATATATATATATATATATGTGTATATAATTTGCTATTCCTGTTGTTCATTGTTCTAGTTGCTGTTGTAGTTGAAGTTGTTGTTGTAGTTGTTGCTGTAGTTGTTGCTTTTGTTTTGTTGTTGTTGTTGTTGCTGTGGTAGTTAGTTGTGTTATAAAGTCGCTTAGAGTTCCCGGATAGTCTTAATAAATACTCATATGTATACATACAATATATATATATAGGTATATCTATAGGTATAAGTTTCTTTTTGTTCTTGTTCTTGTTTTTGTGTTTGTTGCTGTTTTGCTTTGATCGTAGGATAGTTGGGCTCTATAAAGCCTGAGGGTTGGGCGGGTGAGGACGGGCGCTTAAGTCTCTGTGAAAGTCTTTGATTGAATTTGAAACACGTCGAGATATATATGTATATATATATATTTGTGTGTAATATATATATATATTAAGAGAATGGAAGGATGTGAGAAGAAGAGTTGTATAGCCAGAGAACCGAAAGACTTGAAGATACGGAACATTTTCTGGGTTGTGCATAGCTTAAATTGAGTGTGCGCATGGGGCTTTGTGAGTGTGTGTTTGTGTTTGTGAGTGTGAGTGTGTGAGTGAGTGTAAGTGTGTATACGTGTGTATGAGATATATATTCATATATTGGTTAATTATATTTAGTATACTTTATGCCTGTCTGCATATAACTATTCATAGCATCTGCTGCTGCTGCTGCACTGCTTTTGGCTTAATTTGCAATTTACAACAGTTTTTCAACATTATTATATTTGTTTTTGTTTATGCATTTACTTAACTAGATTTAAATTTCCAAAAAAAAAAATTTTCTCTCTCTATATATATATATATATTGTAATATACGTATAGGTATGTGCTTCTATATAATCTATATGCGAATATGTAAACTTTTCTTGTAGTTGTAGTTTTTGTTGTTGTTGCTGTTGTTGTTGTTGTTGTTGTTGTTGTTGTTGTAGTTGTTGTAGTTATAATGTTTATTTCTGGTATTTGTATGTACAGCAAATGCCTTGGCTAATATCAATATATCAATCATACGCCGCGTGGCCCATTTTGCGTCATGTTCAAGTTCAATAAATTAATCAAGTTTTCAGTTGTTTGTGTGTGTGTGTGTGTGTGTTTTTGTTGTAGGGATTAGTATAATTAAATTTATATATCACAATTTAATCATCTTTTAATTTTGTTTGCCAAAGAATTTAAAACAATATTTTTTGAAAACACGCAACAGTCTGTGAACTGGTTGTGTGTCTGTGTGTGTGTGTGTGTGGTGTGCGTGTGGTGTCTGTGGTGTGTGTGTATGTGGTGTGTGTGTGTATGAGTGCATCTAATTGTTTTTGAGTTTTGCATAAATAAATTGTCACTTAATTGTTGAAGCAACGCCTTATTGTGTTGAGAATTGTAATTGTATTTTTTCAATTTGCTTAAATTTAAAATTAATTATACTTTGAATTCATTTTGTTTTTAGTTTAGAATGCAGCTATGCATTTTTCCATTATCTGCTATAGACACAAAAAATTGTATGCATATATATATATATATATATATATATATATATATATATATATATATATATATATATATATATATATATATATATATATATATATATATATATATGTATATAAATATGTATATGCATATATACATACATATGCATATATATATATATATATATATATATATATATATATATATATGTATATATATGCTCAAAATATAGCAAGAATCTAACAACAAAAATTTCAAACTATGAAGCTTAATTCTGCGCGCCCTTAAGTAGGCAACAATTTTTGTCTTTAAAACTAATTTTGCAAATTATGCTGTTTTTCTTGTTGTCGTTTTTCCTGTTGTTTTTGTTGTTGTTCTCAATTAAATTTGGCTTTAAATTCTGGTTTGCAGCTCCAAATGCATGAAACGTTCTTGACCTTGGGTAAGTTTCATTTGTCGCATTTGGAATTGGAATGTTTTATATTCACGTTGAGTTGTTTGTTCATTTTAGTTGTAATTGTTGGTTGAGTTTTCATTTGCAAGTATTTCAGTTGAATCAATTTGTTGGAGCAGACATTTTCCATTTGTTGGCAGTAATTGGGGGAAAATCGTGCACATTAGCTAAGTAACCACAAGGATTCGGGACATGTTTCTGCAGCTGGGAATTAAAATGATGATGTTCTATGCGAGCACTACATGGAATTTGGCGGCTGGCTATTTGGCATTGGTGTTAATATGGATGGATCAGCTGTGCGCGCAGCTTACTTTCCAAATAGGTGGCTATTTCGTTGGCATTCTTGTTGAATGCCACCATCATGGCCGTATTGCCGCCGGCGTCGCGTGCCTGTAAATTGGCGCCAGCTGCCACCAACATGACGCAAATGTCGCGGCGATTTTGCTCTGCGGCAATGTGCAAAGCTGTCTGACCGCTACGAGAGAGAAAGAGAGAGGGAGAGTGGGGGGAGAAAGTTGTGGTCAACAAGAGAAAGAGAAAGCGAGAGTTTTGTGCCTACCGTTCCATGTCCGCCATGTTGATGACCCGGCGTGTGGCACATGAGATGATATATTTAACAATGTCCTTATGGTTGTATTTGCACGCAAAGTGCAGCGCCGTCTGCCCGTTCTTGTTCACTGATTGTAATGAGTATCCTTGTTCATGTAGTGCACGTAACTGCAAAGAATAAGCACGCATACAGCATGAGCAAAACAAGAGAGAGAAAGAGAGAGGGGACTTCCGAGAGCGAGAGAGAGACATTAGACAAAACAGCAACAGAGCGAGAGAGCTAGCCTTTCTTCTTCTTTTTTCTTATACAAAACTACAAAGCGCGCTTGTCTCACATAAACATAAACAAAAACAAAAATCAGACAAAATATATCGTATATAATAGAAAAAACATAAACGGAAAAGTTAAAGCTACCATATTTAGATCGCCGCTCTGGGCCGCTAGTAGTATGGCATCGGAAGTTTGCTCCAGTATAGGGCTGTTATTTGTGCGCGTGTGTGTGTGTGTGTGCGGTAAAAGTGCATAGATAGGTGTGTGTGTGTGTGCGTGTGTGGTTGTGTGCATAGAAAAGTAGAGAAATAAAAAGAAAAGTTCAAGCATCAGTTTTCGTTGGACAAGTTTCATTTGTCTTATAGAACTAAAATGGTCGCGATCTCTGTAACAGTGAGCGAGAGAGATAGATAGATAGATAGATAGAGAGAGATAGACAGTTATATATATAGAGAGTTAGACAGAGATAGTGTGATAGGCTATTATACACCTGAGTACCTGAATCCATAACCAAAAACATCTTCGTTAAAACTGAATAAACGATCTTTGCAGCTGCATGCATTGAACAACAGAAGCAAAACAAAGAGTTAATGTTCATAAATAAAGAGAGAGAGAGAGAGATAAGTGAGTGTAAAAGCGAAAGAATAGAGTGTAATGGTTAGTTGATAAGCGAGAGCGAAACAGCCAATTCTTTGTCGTTTTGCAAGCAAACAGCTTTATTAGGTGCGAGAGCGAGCGAGCGCTGCCAGACTGTTCAGCTATGCAGTGCCATAGCAAGCAGCTTTAGCTTGTCTATTTGTAGCTTGTGTTTTTGCCTAAAATTTCGTCACTTGTGAAATGAATTTGTTTTTGTTAGAAAGCAAGCTGTTGTTGTTGTTGTTGTTGGGGTGTTACCTCTTCCACTTGATCACTTTAATGGGCTTGTTGCCAATTTGCAAGTCCTCATCTTTGTTTTTTGTGTGTGTGTATGTGTGTGTGTGTGTGTGTGTGTGCGTGTGTGCGTGTGTTCGAGTTGGTTTAAGAGAGTTTAACAAATTGTTAGTACGCCATTTGCATAAAGTTATTTTCAATAAGCAGTAAAAAAATACACATATAAAACAATAACGAATAAATATAAAAACTATAAAGGCTTAAGCACTTAATCAGTTAATTAATTAATCGTTTAATTAGTTAATCAGTGCTTAACTGCTTAACCACTGAGGCAAACCTACCCGTCGCTGTGTTTTGGATTGCAATTTGAACACTTTGTGGTCTGAATTTGTGTGTTGTTTGGAATTGAGTTTTGGCTGATTGGTTGATTGACTGATTGGTTGATTGGCTGATTGGTTGATTGGTTGTTGGTGTGGGTTTTGGACGAGAACGGAATACGGTTTAGCCCTTGTCGCTGTTACGAGTAACTGTTAACGTAAGCGGCGATTATATACCATATATATACATTTTCATATACATATATACAAAATACTCATATTGAATGCTCTACTTACATGTGGGCGTGGCAAGGACTAAGCTGTATTCGCTCCCGCACTTAATACATACATACATATTTATATATATATATATGTGTGTGTGTGTGTGTGTGTGTGTTTGTGTGTGTGCACGTCTGTGTATGTGTGTGTGTATCAGTTAGTTGCTAAACATGCGAAATAAAAGAATGCTAAACACCAAACGAAAATGAAAACGAAAACGAAAACGGAAATGAAAACGAAAATGAAAATGAAAAGAAAACAACGTTGATAAACACTGAAAGATTAGCCTGGTTGCGGGATGTGTTCGGGTAAGGAATGGAGATTAGGCTGGATATGGACACACACAACATCGCTTAAAGCTCGATGCGCTTCTTGCGATAATGCAGGTGACAAAACATGCGCCTATCTAGGTAGGGCAGCGGCTGGGCCACCTGCTGCTGGTAGAGCTGCAGACGCTGCTGCAGCGGCAGCTCGGTGGCCGGCGACGGTGGTTGCGCCGAGCGGTGCCAACAGCCAGCTAACAGAAGCCTACCCGTGCCGGTGCCGGTACCGTTGCCGGTGCCAGAGCCAGAGCCGGTGCCAGTGCCAGTGCCAGTGCCAGTTCCAGTGCCAGTGCCAGTGCCAGTGCCGCGTCCCTGTGTCTGATCCAGCTGTCGCCGTTCGTTCTGCGCCTGGCGCTGTGAAAATGCTGCAAAAGAGCGTTCCTGATCCGGTGTCTGCGGCATGGTAGCCGCTTCATGATCCAGTATATAGAGTTCGTCAATGGCAATGTCACAGATGTAATGCAAGTGCTCCTGGGCCCGATCAATGCGAAAGTAATGCTCAGCAGTGCACGCTGTGGATGGATGGGATGGAGTGGCAATTGGGTTAGTTGGCAGCAGCTGCAGCAACGGCAGCGGACGTGGCATGCCACCAACTTACAGTCAATGAAGCACCAGTCCTGCGAGACCTTAGGATACGATATGGACTCCTCGAACTTGGCATTCAGCATGCTGCGCACATGCTCCAAATCGCACTGCGATTCAATCTCAATCTGTCCCAGCTTGTTGGCCAACTTGCGTAGCATTTCCTTGTCGTAGTGGTATTGCTCGTATTGCTGCATGGTTACTCTTAAAATTCCCAGCTGCATCTTCTCCAGCGGATTGACTCTGTGCGCACGAGAAATACAAATACAAAATATAAAGTCAAGACACTCGCTACGGGGGAAGGGTTTTTTTCAGTTTTCAGTTCGATCGGAAAGATTGTGGAAAAGATGGAGACAGATTTGGAAAGACGGAAAAAGAAAGAGAGAGAGAGAGAGAGAGAACGGCTACGGTCTAAATTTGTGGTTAGTTAAGCAAACAGCAGAAGATCCGTCGAGGATGGGCGCGAGCTGATAGCGATGATAAGTTAGATTCAAATGCAATTAAATTCCTCTTTTTATTGCTGAATTTATACATCTTCAAATACAGAGTCTGACGCTTGATCGATGTTAATCAGACTAAAACCACGAATGCATAGGAAACACATGGAAGCCGCTTGCCATTTCACATGCGAATTCACATATATTTGTAACTACAACTGAAATTCGTAGAACATTTAATTTATTTTTTTTTTTTTTTTTTTTTTTATCACAAGTCGAAGTACGCTCGACCTTGGCCTTCTGGCTTTATAATGATAAAACTCGTCGAACAAACAAATATGGAAGTGTTCCAACATGTGATAGGCCATTTGGTGAGTGTTATTTAATCAGGAACGGAAGATCTCTGGAATAACTATTTAATTGGAGAATCGGCTTTGCAAGTATCACAGCGAACGAAGCAACTAATAAAGGCGGATATGTATCATTTCGAATTGCAGGTCTAGTCAAGTGGTCCGTATTTAGATGAACGATTGCGTATTTGGTATCCCGATCGAATTGACATAAAAACGTTTCATTTTCTAAATCCTTTCCATTCTCAACGGAAAAGCGCATAGTTTTGTTTGTTTTGTTGTTTGTTTTTTTTTTTTTTGTTTTTTTTGTTCTTTCGCAAAGAATAGATCAGACTGCATGGATCGTCTACAACTGCATCAACAAAAAATCGCTCTCAAACTTGCTGTAAGAATTAAACTCGCTGTATTTGAGCGGCTTTTGATCAGTTGAGCTGCGGGTGTGTGTTCAGTGCTTGGGTTAGGTTGGGTTAGAGTACAGGCTCTTGGTACATCCATACTCACTGAACATCCCCGCGTCCGTGCTTGCGCTTGGACAACATAAGAGCCTGGTTGAGCAGCTCGATCTCAATGATGGATGGCTTGACGCGACAGGCCTCGCCATCGACCTGCATGGGAATGGTACGTCTGGTGATGATGCGGGCCTTGCGGCACTGGCAGATGCAGGTGCCGTGCATGCCCGCCTGCAGCATAGGTAGCTGATAGGTGGTCAGGCCCACGACCTCCATGAGTCCGTCATCAATGGTGGGCTTAGTCTGACCAAAAGAGTCGTTCCAGGGATGTGTGCCGCCGCCATAGCTGTGGATGACAAATGTTAGCAATCTATTGTAAGAGCGAGAGGGAAGAAAACTCACCTTGGTATGTTGAGAAAGAGTACAGCATGGCAGCCGGCATCGCGTAGCTTGCTTGTATAATCTTGGCCATCGCACTCGAGGGTCACCCACTGCGAGAGATTGCGATATTGGCGCAGAATCAGATCCTTGCCGCCCATCTGGCCGTAGTACATCTTGTTGCGTAGCCGTGAATTGAAGCGTTCCGGATGAGCCTCGCGTGCCTCATGGAATTCAAGCGCAATGTGCGCATCCACGCCAAAGCTGAAGTAATTGTTGATCACGTTCAGCGGCACATTCGACTTGCTGCGATCGACATGATCATCGGTCACATCCTCGTTGGGCGTCACCTTGACACTCCAGCGATCCATTAGGACGCACTGCGACATGCCGATCTCACGCAGTACCTTGCCAATAGGCTCATCAGTATAGCCCTGTGCGAGATGGAGAATGCAGCCACAAATTAGTCCGAGATCGAAATTAAAAATCCATTAGCTATACTTACGCCGCCCCAGCCGAGCGAACGGGCGAGATCATTGCCGGTGCCCAGTGGCAAGACGCCCACCGCCGGCACCGGCATCAGCGGTGGATGGATCTGATCCAGTACGGATAGCACCCAACCGACGGTGCCATCTCCGCCGCAGGCCAACACGCGTAAATTCGGAGCCTTGCGGAACATGTCCAGACTGGAAAGTGAGAGAATGATGGGAAGATATTCGATTATATAAAGCTGAACGTCTTTCCCGAACTTAAGTTAAATAGAACTAGTTCTACAATTCACTGTTGTTTTTTTTTGCCAATATGAGCTAGTTCAACTAGATCTCAATTATTTTCAACTGCAACTTGTTAAATAAACTAGTTCACCTTGCGGATTCAGCCTTTAAGCTACTTCTATACCACAAATAACTAAACAGATCTATATTAATATAATGTAGATTAACCAAACTATTGGAACTAGTAGTGTGAACTAGTTCATCTTGTGGCGACGACTTACATAATCGAATTTGAATATACTATTTTGGAATGCATTTGAAAACTATTTATTCTCTGGCCATTTAAGGCCAACACTTACCCCATTTTGGGACCACCTTGTGTCAGATCGAATACCTGGCGCGGATTGAGCAAATGCTGGAACTTGCCCAATAGCTTGACGCCCTGATTGCCACCAGATTTTGGATTGATAAAGACAATAACCGGTATTACATCCGGCGATGGAATGGGCTTCACAATGAAGGCTCGAGGCTCCTTTTTCTCCTCCTTGGCCTTCTGGCGTTTCTGGGTGTTCTTCTTACTCTTGCCACCAGCACCAGAACCAGTTCCACCACTAGCCGGACCACCGGCCGAACTGGTCTTGTTGCTCACACGTATCGAGGACTTAAAGTTGCCCTTATTTGGTAGCTTGACAATCCATGACGGTGGCACAATGATGGGCGCATAGTTGCCTGCAAGCACAAAATGTTAGATTGGAATAGACAGAGAGGCAGAGAGCGTGAGAGAGAAAGAGAGTGAGAGAGAGGGAGAGGGTGCGAGTGTAATGCTATTAAATGGTCGAATTGCGTTTAAGATGCGTGTCAACATTGGCAGCTGACCAACTCGTTGCCAGGGCAGCTAATTGAGAGCTCTACTGCGGCCAGCCAGAAATGCCAAGGAGCAGCAAATTCCACTTGCCACCTGCAAAGCAATCACAAGCTGAACCAACCCAAGAGCATCCGCCAACAACAACAAGGACAAGTTAATAGCATAGAAAATATGCCAGAAGTCAGTCACGAGCCACTGACAAACAAAAGAAATTGAGATGAAGCCGCATGCTGCCACGCACCGAGTCGACATACCAAGGTCCTTCCTTGCCCAAGTCAAGGCGCAATTATGAATACCACAACAGAAGCGAGCGAGATTACGGAGAGAGCGGCAGGTGGAAGAGCGCTCGCAAGCCAGACGCTACGGAACAGGACAAACTGGCGCAGAGACAGACGGAGAGCAGGACAGCCAGACGGGCAGGCGGCTAGCCAGGCCAGGACTTGCAGACAGGCCAAAGGCGGCAGCAAAACTGAGCCAGAAGACAACCTGAGCTTCGCTCTGCAATAGCAGGCGGGCAGCAGAGGTGTGGGTGGGTGTGTCTGTGTGTGTGTGTGTGTGTGTGTGTGTGTGTATGGTTGTCATGTGCGTGGGTTGTGGTTAAGGCGGCTCGAGGCCTCACGAATGCCCGCCTGTAATTGTATTTTGCACTTTATTTCGTTGTCCTGTGGCATCCTCATTGTCTCACTGTCATTGTGTGTGTGTGTGTGCGTGTGTGTCGTCGGTGTGTAATGCGATGCTGGAGAGTGTGTTAACAAGACGCTCATTGAGACACTTTATAAAAAGCATTTACAGCCTCAGCCATGCACAGGCAGAGCTCCGACACCAGCCCCTACACAAGCACCCCAGCTGCCTCCTCTCCACCATGGTCAATGGTTGGGCTCTCCTTTTGTTGCAGCCAGAGACAGAGCAGTCAGCAGAAGCGTCTATCTGGGCTCTGCAAGTTTTGGCAGTTTAATACTAACTGCAGAATGGAAAAATGCAAAATGCGGTTCAAAACTTTCATTTCCAGTGCGACACCAGATTCGACATTTGAGCTCTTAAGACAACGAGCTAAGCGCCAACGTGGCCAACATTGTAATTGGCTTAAAGAGGTTTAAGACTGCTGGACTAATGTAGTCCCTCACCTCCAGTATTTGAGTATATTTGAATGCCATGCTTATGCACTGAAAACTTTATGTCCATCGGACAATAAACATTGAAGTTATAAAAGAACCCTGGAAGGTCAGGAATTCTCGACTAATGCTTGGCAAATTTAATGTATGCATATATTAATTATACACCATATTATTTATATATATTCTATTATTAATTATATGCACATATTTTTTGTCTTCCTTCAGCTCACTTTTAGATATATCCTTTCCCTTTAATTAAGAGCCCCAAAAACTCAATTTCGAATCGATTGCGGACATCGCAATTAATAGAAAACGTTATGCCAATGCATCAATATGCAAATTGCTTTTTAGCGAACAGTCGAGTTTTGTTTCGGGTTTTTGTGCAGTTTTCGCTGCGCTTTTCAATTAAATTAAATAAAGACTGTTAAATTGTCGATTTGCTGAAAATATTTCCCAAACTGGCCATCAATGGAGGCTGCAGGCAATTCAACTTTCCAATCAGCCTGATTTGATTTTGCGAAACTAAAGGCTGCTGTGCGCCAGTGTGTGTGTGTGTGTGTGTATGTGAGTGTGTGTCTATTTTGCATTTCAATTAAATAAGTCAAAATCAAGCGACGGCCCGTTTCCTAATTACGGTCCGTCGTGACGTCACGAGTACTTTTCAAAGTCTCATCGGCTACGTATTGGGCTCAACTATTGACTTTGTGCCGGGACCAGGAACTGACAAATTGTCGATTCCGCGAAACAAATGCTAATGACCTTAAAACTTGACCCAAAAGCGAAAACGGATGCGAAATGAGCAGACGCAAATGTGGAACAGAGATTGACCAAAAGGGAAATGATCTTTGGGGCAGACAAGATTTCCGGAAAAGAAGAAGAGTACGAAAAAAAATAAAATTGAGTTAATGAAAGAAGAAAAATTTATGTATGCTCTTTTTCTTTAAATCAACGTTGTAAATAAAAATTATGAAGACCAACGGATAAAAGATAAATTAACCAATAAATATTTGCATTTACTTTTAAGAAAATCTCAAACATATCCAGCTATAACTTTACAAATAAACTCTCAAACAAGAATTCAAACCTATTCGAATATTTTTTTTTATTTGAATCGATTAATATTAATGAGTAACTTGTTAAACCGTTTAGCTTTTGAAATACTTGATAATTGAAGGCTGATATACCCTATGGTAAGGGTATAGCCCACACAAATGAAAAAAAGACAACTACTAGTAGCTGTTGTAAATGAAGACAATGGGACAATGAGCGAGTGGGCAATGGTAATGAGTTAAAAGGGTCGAGAGGTGTGTCACAATCTACCTTGCGGACAAATGGGCTTGAGTTAAAGGGGCAGGGCAGGGCAAGGGGCGGGTAGGGGATAGGGGATGGCGGTTTGGACGTTTTAATGCACAAATTTTAATTAAGTTAACGGGCCGCAATTTATTTGCATTCGCGTCACGTAATTAATCAGAGAGAACACAATGGAGAATGAACAATGGGACGGCTGGGCTGGCTCTCGTGGAGCCTGGACGAGCATCGATAAGGAAAATGTCTGAATGTCTGAACTCACCCAGGCGGCATTCCTCGCCAATCTTGGCCTGATTGAAGCACGACTCCTTATTATGGTAAATCTCGTGGCACCACGCACAGGATAGAGCGACAATTTCCTTCGATCCAAAGAGTTTACTCTGCACCGCCTGCAACAAAAGAAGGTCGAGTCGTGGTTTGGTTGGGCGGCGGGAGTTGAGTAATAATATGGGCTGTAACAATATGTGCTACTCACCTTGCCACAATGCTTGCACTTGCCCTTCTCAAGCTTGCGGTGCACCCAGTGGTGATGGGTGGTCGTCTGTTCCCGGTACTGTCTGATGCCCACATCTCGATAGGTTGGCTTACACGCTAGCTGAGTCTTTTCATTCACTATTGGAATGCAATTCTGATGTGCAATCAGCTGACAAGCCGAGCACTTCATGCGCTGTCCGCTCTTCTGCAAGTACATGAACGCAATCAGACAGCCATACAGAGGACGGAAAATGCAGTATAGATGATGGAGGATGGAGGACAGGGGAAAGGTGTGCACATTAGAAACGCATAAACGCAGTTTGTCTCATTCAATTGGCCAGTTGGCCAACTAAGCTGACAGCCGCCCACTGGGCCATTGAGCAGCTATCTACTACTAGCTACTTGTCTTGAAATAAACTTTTGCAATTATTTTCCACTCAAGCTGTACGTCTGTCACTCTGTCACAGGCAGAATCCTGTCGTGTTGCTTTAATTCAAAATGACAGGAGCTGCACGTGTCTTGGAAAGGGAGAGTCCCACAGACACGTATTGTGTTTAACGACAACAATAAAGCTCCCTTAAAGCTCTCCTCTAACTAACTTATCGCGCCATTTAGGAAGCTTTGGTGGCACTTGAAGAAAGGTTCAAGGCACGTATAGTATTGAAGGACAGTAATAAGCTTCCCTTAAAGCTCTCTCCCACTACTAACTTATAACAAGCTTGAAAGTAGCTTTTATTGTAGTGGTAAGCAATAAAGCTCACTTAAAAATCTCTTTACACTGTCAATAACAAGCTTGAAAGACGCTTCAATTGTTGTAAGAACGGCTTTGAAAGTACTTGAAAGAAGCAGCAAGTGTCTTAAAAAGAGGAGGGTGGTACTGAATGCCAACAATGAAGCTCCCTTAAAGTTCTCATCTATCTAACTTATATATCGCACGTTTTATGGAGCTTTAATTGCCGCACGAACAGCTGTCGAAGCATATGAAAGCTCTAAGCGACTTTTTCTCAACTAGCTCACAGCTAATTTACTTTGCTTTTTTGCCCCTACTAGCAAACAAAATAAAGCTCACCTGAGCGGAAAACTTAACCAAGCACAACTGTGCACTATGCTTCGCTTGCATTATTTGATTTTACTTTTGTATGTTGTTGTAAGGCTTAAGTATAGCTTAGCTAGACCCTTATAGCTCTTTCTCTCTCGCAAGCTTTTTGACTAAGTGTGGAAAATTTCCTCACATTTGGGAAGCCAATACTGTAGGCGTCCCTTGAAGAAGCTTCAATAATATATGTTCTCCAGCCAATATAATTTATCGGAACCATGTCGTGACTGGGCTTTCCACACATGCAGATAATCAACATTCGTACTTTCATTTAGTTAATCAGCCGTGCTGCCTGTGCCAAAGTTTACCTTTACATCACCTAATGACAAACTACTTGTAACTTTTGACAGCAAGCGTTGTGTTTCTGGATGTAAAAGAGAGGAGCCATTTGCCCAGGCCCCGCCACGGTCCCTCAACGGATTGCGTGTGCAGCAAATTATACATATGAACAAGTTATATATATATATATAAAGATATATATATGTATATATTTTGTATATATGTACTCGTACATGTCGGACAAGCACGCAATAAATAAATTACACGATTACATGAAGTTTCATTCTACTTGGCGCTTTTCGCTTTTTGTGCTCCTCGCGGTAATTGAATTAGAAGTAAGCCCCAAAAAAACTCAGTCCAATATCGTAAGCCCAAATCCCAACTGTGCCAGTCAATGTGAGTGTGTGCGTGTGTGTGCTCGCGTGTGGTACTTACAATGCACTCCTCGTTGAGACAGCAGAGATCACCCGAGGCCGAGGTGGGTTTCCAGTAATGTTCACCCTGCACCGCATTCTCTGTCCAGTCCGGCACAATGCGTATCGGCCTACGGGCATTGCTCGAAGAGGCCGTACGTCTATATGATATGGGAAGAGCAAGAAAAGAGGAGCATATTTGAATGGGAGGCAGAAACGATGAAGATTTGACATGACATTATATATATATATCTACATATTCTTATAATATATCAAATGTCACATTTTTCATATTTGAAGAACTATAATTATTATATCGGGCATATCGTTCTATAACTATAGCTTGATTTTTCCAGAGTATATCGAGTGTTTAGTGAGTCAGTAAACATTTAAATTAATTTATTCAAATCATGTTAATTTGATAAGCAATATCGTGCAGCTACCCAGCGTCTAGCCGATTATCGACTAGTTCTGGAGCAGCCCTCGCATAGTTGCGATTAAATTTACTAATGAGTGTTTGAGTAAGTATTTGATACACTCGCATATTTACGAGTACATTCACAAATGAGATTTGAGTATTTGTTATTCATTTTGCGCTGTTTGGCTCTGCTGTTCTTTGTTATTTGGCACGGGGCGTTTTCCTTGCCAGTTTCCCACATTTCCATTTCCATTAGGGAGCGCCCCTTGCAGCGGTTGGGACTCACCTCTTGCGCCGCCACGCCCCTAGCGAGTCGAGTTTCCTTTGGCGGAATGCCGACTTGCGTTGCATGCCAATCGAGGAGCGTCGAAAGCGACGCACAGTTCCCGCTGCGGCGCCTCCAACCGCGCTTGCACCCATTGCGCCAGTGCATGCAGGCGTTGCGGCAAAGAGCTCGTTCGGCTGATTTGACGCTGACGTCAAAGCGACGCTTCTGCTGATACTGCTGCTACGGCTGCTACTGCTGCTGGCGTCAGCTTCCTCCTCTACGTACTCATCTTCTGTTTGGAATTCCTCGCGCACCGCATGCAGCAAACGCTCCATGTTCAGCAGCGGCGTTGACGTTGGCGTCGACGTTGGTGTCGACGCTGGCGTGGACGTCGGCGTCGCCACGCTCGCCGTGCTGCTGATGCTGTTACTGCTGCTGCTGCTGCTGCTGTTGCTGCTGCTGTTGCTGCTGCTGCTGCTGATGTTGTTGCTGTTGTTGTCGCTGTCACAGTGCAAATAAGATATGAACATGGCAAACCGTGTACTGTTGCCCCCGCGCGCTTTCCGTCTACGAATTCATTTCACTTCACTTCACTTGACTTCATTACACATTCGATTTCGCATCTGAGTTTGAATTTGATTTTGCATTTGATTTGGCTTTTGCTTTTGCACTTGCTTTTGCTTTTGCGTTTGCTTGTGCTTTTGCTTTTGGCATTGCGTAAAGTTTTAGCTGTGTGTAGTTTGTTTTGGACCACATTGTCGCATAGTTTGTGCCAGCTAACCCGCTTCGACGGCAACGGTGACTGCGACTGCGGCTGCGGCTGCGACTGCGAGTTGGCCTGTGCCAATGACAGAGGCTCTTGTTATCATTATGTCGCCTTAAGATATACCGCAAAGAAACAACTGTAACGTGGATTTTACAAACATTTATACATACCTACATGGAGGTGAGCGTATGTGAAATATATATAGTTTTTCCCTGAGGCAGTAGAGGCAGAAATGCAAGGCGACCCGGGGCACAAAAGGACTAACACTTAGCTCAAGGACCTTTAAGGCTTTTGGGCCAATCAATCAAATGCCTAAATATATAATTAAGGTTCCATTCCCGCGTACCGTGTGTTTGACAGCTCGCTAATAATACCAATTGACGCAAAAATAGGAATGACGGAATTGGAACATTGAACATGTACAGATCTAATCAGACGGAATATCAAGAAGAGGAGCATTTAATAGGTGTCTAGAAATATTTCTTTTACAAGCTAAAAACCTTTTTTGAGGACAATAGAACATTGAAACTGCAACGTGACAGCATTATCATTTATAGAAAATAAAGAATATTGCAAAAGAATATATCAAAGAATTTTATTTATCCGAAAATGTTATCCAGATCACACTTCTATATTATATAGCACTATAGGCAGAATCTGTTGAAAAATAAATTATTGCATGGCAAAATATTCGATTCTTCAAGATATTCTCAATAAACTTTGCATTTACGAGCTTTTCACAATATCGCACATTTCTGGAGTAGCGCTAGACAAATGTCTAGAAGGGTATAAGATCTTATTTTTTCCCGTTTTCTCTATTACGGATTCAGGTGACACGAGTTTCCTCTGCCTTCTCCACCTGCCGCTATGCAGAGCACGAGCGCTGAGGCTTGTCTGTGCGTGTTCTGGTTCTGGTTGCTGTTGTATCTAGTCTGTGTGCGAGTGTGTGTGTGCGGTGTGTGTGAGAGTGCGTGTGTGTGCGTGTGCTTAATACGTTTGTATACATTTTGTATATTGTATGCATTGTAATTAAATTCTTATCAGATTCAGATGAAAAACAAAATAAAACCAAAAAAAATAAATAAATAAAAAACAGGGCAACAAGATGAAAATAATAAAAACAATGCTACTCTGTCTCTTCCTATCTGCCTCTCCCTCCCCCTCATTCACATCTTCATCCTCACCCTCTCTCTCTCTCTCTCTCTCTCTTTCACTCGCTCTTGTCTGTCTGTCAGTCCTATAAAGGCGAGGCAACTAAGTAAGCGCAGCCCTACCCTGGTTGTTGTTAGTGTTGTTGTTTTTTGTGGTTGTTGTTGTTGTTACTGTTGATATTGGCCAAGCAAATTGCTGGTTGTTGCTTGGATTTGCATGTCAATTGTCAGCATTTAGGGCGCCTCAACACCCTCGACAATGTGCCGTGTCCATTTGCTGTTCGTTGTCAGCTGATCAATATGCATGTGAGTGTGCGTGGGCGTTGGTGTGTATGTGTGTGTGCGAATGTCTCTCATCGCTCGCCTAGTTGTGTGTTCAGCTTGTCGCCTGCGGCTGCGATTTTAGTCGCTGTTTTTGACGCGTGCCGAACAATTTTATTTTATTTTTTTTTTGGAAGGTGACAACTCTGTTTGTTTAAGCGTCTAAGCGCAGCGTGCATTCGTGTGAGTGTGTGTGTGTGGGTGTGAGTATTTTTGCAATTGACGTCGGCTGTGCCCATGACCTACCCCACTGTACCGTTGCCTGTCCGCCCCTCCGCCCATCTCCTCAGCCACTTCACCCATCTCCCCTGGCGTGACCAACCACGACGGCCAGGCTAAGTTTAGATTGGCCGTCACAGTTTGTTTGGAATTTTATGGCTTTTGATGCAATTGTTGTGTCGAGTAGGTATTTTTAGCACCTGCGTAATTATGTCAAAACACAGAAGCACACACATACAAGAGCAAGGACATGAGTGCCGCAGGATTAGCAAGAGGACTATTAAAAGGAAAACACAATCTGCCTATGGATTTGAGGCTTATAGTGGCAGAAAAGAAAAGTCTATAGCTGAGGGCAAGCTGTATGCAGATATTCATTAACTGATAACATAGATAAATAATCCAAGAGTAAAGTTAGTTAGATTGCCAAAATAACTTGAAAGCATGAAGGCCAAGAAGACCCCTTTGAATGCATGAGAATCGCATAGTAAGGCGATATTTCAAAAATTGTTTAAGCCTTGTTTAATAGCATAACACTAGTAAAAAGCAGCTTCTAACTCAACCAAATACTCATAATATTGAAGATCGATTGGATTTATTATGTGAAGACAATTTTGGGCCCGCTGCAAACAGATTTTCAATGCCAGCATACCCTATCTAAACATTTTGCTAGCGACACACAGTATAAACGCAGGCAGTTGACAAATAACAAGCAGCCAACTGAGAATTTTGGCCGCAATCATTAGCCGTTGGGCCAAACATGGGCTGGTCGCAAAACATGAAACGCAATTTCAATTCAAATGCGATTAAATTTTGTTGTTCGCCTTTGAAGCTCGCAGAACGGACAAGGCTAAATGCAAATAAGTAGCTGAATCTGAATCTGAATTTGAATCTGAATATGGGAATGGATAATGGCGCCGGCCATAGGTCCGGCACACGGTCCAAGTCCGATTGCCGATTGCCGGTCCGTGTCCGGGTCAGGTGATTTAGTGGAATAGAGAGATGAGCCGGCTAATGGACGGCAGAGCGCATCGCATCGCATTCAATGCCACCATGCTTTTTGTCAAACTCAATATTTCCACCAGTCCCACATAAACACACCCTCGCTGCACACTGACAAAATCAATAAAAACCTTGAAAATATTTTTATACACTTTTCAATAAATGACACTTTGCAATTCACAAATTTGCATTTACGTTTAGTCGGCCTAGGAATTCACCCAGCTCTCGAATATGAGCACTGAGCTACTTTTGCGACATCATAAAAATATTATTATTATCGTCTGCTCTCCGCAGTGCGCCGACTGATCGAGCAAAGAATTTCTTGCGGGCATATCTCGACATTTCGCCAATAATATTGTGACTTTGTTGCAAGATTCGCACATACGTGTGCATATATCTAAATGTATTTGCATTTCATTTACGCTTCTTGCTTTTCGTCAAACTAAACCAAACACATTTGCAATGGGAACGTTGCACAAGACTCGTAAATTTGTGGTTCAAATCCAAATTTGCTCAAATTTAGTATCGACGGAAGCATTCACAGTCCCCATATGAAATTGAATATAGGCAAATGACAAGATACATTAAATGCCTGGCCAGATAAATGACTGGCAAAAGTTACGTTTGCGAGGGATTGTTTTGATAGAAGCCCTGTGTTAAGGAAGTCCGCGTTGAAGGGATCAAAGTGCCCCAGTTTGGCCGAGATATTTTGTGGTTAAGATTTTATGCATATGAAAGGAGCATAGTGAAGATTAAGAATAGTCAAGATCTTCAAAAAGTTAATAAAAATAAAAATGATTATTTAAATATAACATTTTTTTAGGAAAACAATTCTTGATTTTCCTTCTGTTAGGGGGATATATATATATATACTGCTGCGATACATGCACCTGTGGTATATACATCTGTGATATATAAACTCCTGCAATATGTAAACCTGCTTGCAATATAAAGAGTAACCTTAGACATTTGCTTTCATAGAAACAGACGGACATGACTTAATCAATACTGATCAATGG